AGTGGATCATTATCAATGCATTCAAATGAAATGCAGTGAAGATTTTGCAATCCTAAAAAGGTTTGTTGAGAAAGAAATGATTTATGATTTTCTTGCTGGACTGAATATTGAGTTTGATGCAGTAAGAGTCCGAATCCTAGGAAAAGAATATTTGACTTCATTTGAAAGAGACCATTGCTATCATTCAGGCTGAAGAAGGAAGAAGGGGTGATGGTAGTTGAAAATAGACAAATAGAGAGTTCAACTTTGGTCACTGGGGCTGTAACTAAGGAACCAACACGCCTGTAACAACAGATTTTTGAAGGTAGACCACAAGCAACAAACAGTTGACAAAGACTCTTTATGGTATACTTACTGCAAGAAGCCATGCCACACTAAAGATAAATGTTGGAGGTTACATGGAAAGTCTCAATCAATAAGTAAGAATTTTATCTAGAGAGGGGGTTCATCAAGAGGGCAGACCAGAGCGTATACAACTAAACAAGTTGTTAAGGAGGTTGAAGAACAATCTATTGAGTTCAACAGGGAAGAAGCCTAAAAATTAAAGAGTCTACTGGAATCCTTAGAGAAACCTTCCTTTACAGGATCATGCAATTTGGTATTCTCATGTATATCCTCTTCCTTTTCTTAGGATTCTAATGTCTCGAAACTATCCACCCACATACCTACCCAAAATTCATGGATAATTGACTTAGGAGCCACATACCATATGACTAATTCATCATTCAAATTCCTTACCTACACACGCTGTCCTAGTAGTAAGAAAATCACAGTTGTAAATGGCACTATCATAACAATTGCTGGTCTAGGAGAAATTACCATAAATGAAACCCTTTTTCTTAAAAATGTTCTACATGTACCAAAACTATTTGCCAGTCTCATATCTATCGATAAACTTATCAAAGACACTAACTGCAATGTTTTGTTTTATCCTACACAATTTATTTTTTAGAAGCAAGAAATGAAGAGGATGATTGGGTGTGCTAGGCAAGTAAACGGTCTATACTACCTTGAAGAACCCAATTGTCCAGTTAGAGTCCTGGATATCCAACCTCTGTTTCTCTTATCAGAATCTACAGCGAATAAAGACCAAATCTGGCTAAACCATTTTTGCCTTGGTCATCTCTTTGTTTAATTCCTTAAGTACTGAAGAATTTCATTGTGAAGTGTGTGAATTTGCAAAACATAAACGTGCCTCTTTTTCAACAAGCAATAAAAAGACTACCAGCCCATTTACTCTTATTCACAGCGATGTTTGGGGGCCTTAACATATCTAGGACTAGATGGTTTGTCATTCATAAATGATTGTACTCGGGTTACTTGGATCGTTCTCCTAAAACAAAAGGCAGATGTTACCCCTATTTTTAAAGCCTTCTACACAATGATTAAAACCCAATTTAGGACTGAAATAAAAAGATTTGAATCAGACAATACTAAATACTACTTTAACCAAGTCCTATCTCCTTACTTTTTAGACAAAGGTATCATCCATGAATCATCTTGTGTTAACATTTCATAGCAAAATGGTGTAGCTGAAAGGAAGAACGACCACATCCTTGCCACTACAAGAGATCTTATTTTTCAAAAACAAAGTCCCTAAACATTATTGGGGAGAGGTTATGTTAACTGCCACCTACATGATAAATAAACTACCCACTAAAGTCTTTGAATCCCAATATCCTCTTCAAGTTCTCACAAAATTCTATCCAAATTTTAGTCTATATCTTAACCTAAAACCTAAAATATTTGGGTGTGTTGCTTTTGTTCATATTCATTCTTAGAGAAGGGGAAAACTTGATCAAAGGGCACTAAAATGCATATTTATTGGCTACTCCTCCACTAAAAAAGGTTACAAATGCTATTATCCACCTACAAGAAAATAATACACCTCTGCTGATGTTACTTTTGTTGAAAAAAAGAGTTTTTACTATTCCTTATCTTCAGGGGGAGATATCATTTAAGGAAGATAAGGATGGTGATTTTTTCCTACTTCAACCTCTCATTGATTTCCCTACACCTATACAGTCTGACCAAATACAACAAACACAGTTTGCTTAGCCTACTACTACTCCAACTTCTTCACAACCAGAACCCAATACACCACAACCAGTCATCCAGGACACTACTTGTCCTCTATTGGTCTATTCAAGGAAGAAGGAACCTATGCAAATTCAATCATCCCCTTCTCCTGCTCTTGTACAATCTGAGGTACACTCTGAAATCTTATTGATCAAACTACTGAAGATACTATGTCTAATCTAGATTTTGAATTTTCCATTGCTATTAGAAAAGGAAAAATAACTTGTACCACTAAGCATCATTCCTACTTGTTCATGACTTACAAAAACCTATCCCTTTGTCACAAAGCTTTCCTTACCAGTCTAAAAACCATTACAATTCCTAAGACTGTTTTTGAGGCATTAGAGAATGAGAACTGGAAAAAGGCTATGAAAGATGAAATGCAAGGATTGAAAAAAGAATAAAACCTGGGACTTAGTAAAACTGCCAAAAGGGAAGAAAACAGTGGGATGTAGATGAGTGTTTACAGTTAAATATAAATCAGATGGCTCCTTAGAATGGTACAAAGCAAGGTTAAAGACAAAGGGATATTCTCAAACCTATGGAATATATTACCTTGAAACTTTTGCCCCTGTTGCAAAGATGAATACAGTAATAGTTCTACTGTCCTTAGCAACTACTTAATGATGGAATTTGCAGCAATTTGACATTAAGAACACATTCTTACACGGAGATCTTGAAGAGGAAGTGTACATAGATATACCACCTGGATTTGAACCTAGTACTGGACAGGCAGTTTGCAAGTTGAAAAAGGCTCTATATGGGCTAAAGTAATCCCCTAGAGCTTGGTTTGGAAGGTTTGCTAAAGTGATGCTGAGACAAGGGTTTAAACAGAGCCAAGGTGACCATACTTTATTTGTGAAATAGGGGAATGAATGCACTCTTGGTGTATGTAGATGACATAATTGTCATAGGAAATGATCTTGAAGGAATTGGTAGTTTAAAGAAGTGCTTGATAAAGGAGCTTGAAGTTAAGGAACTTACAAGATTAAAATATTTTCTTGGAATTGAAGTGACACATTCACAGTAGGGGTTTTTTATATCTCAACGAAAGTACATTCTGTACTTGTTGAAGGAGACTAAAAAACTAGGGTGTAAGCCAGTATAAACACCAATAGAGGTCAATCATAAGCTTGGAGATTCAAAAAATAATGATGCAACAGTTGATACAAGTTCATTTCAGAGACTTGTGGGAAGGATTATTTATTTGCCACATACTAGACCAGGCATAGCATATGCTATTGGAGTTTTGAGTCAATTCATGCACAATCCTAAGGAATCACATCTAAGGGTTGTGATTCAAATTTTACAGTACTTAAAAGGGACACCAGGGAAAGGAATTCTGTTTAGAAGAAAGGAAAATTTGACTCTAGAAGCATACACTGATGCAGACTATGCTGGATCTATAGTTGATAGAAGATCAACTTCTAGGTACTGTACTTTCTTTGGAGGAAATTTAATCACTTGGAAGAGCAAAAAGCAGAATGCTATGGCTAGATCAAGTGCAGAAATTGAGTTTTGAGCGATGGCTTTGGGAATTTGTGAGTTACTATGGCTGAAGATAATTTTAGAAGATTTGAAGGTCAATTGGGATGGACCAATGAAGCTATATTGTGATAACAAGTCATCAATTAATATTGCTCATAATCCAGTTCAACATGACAGAACAAAACATGTTGAAGTGGATAGATATTTCATAAAGGATAAACTTGATAGTGGCCTAACCCGTACTCCTTATGTGACCATTGGAGATCAAGTTCAGATATACTTACCAAGGGTCTACCTGGTAAGTATTTTCAGAAGATGACAGACAGAGAATGGAAGACATCCATGCCCAAGCTTGAGGGAGAGTGTCAGAGATTAGCATCCTAAATTAGGAAGATTATGTAGGATATTTGTAAATATATTCTACTAGTTAGGATCCCTAACTTTAAGGGATTAGAATTACTCCTAGAATCAATTACTTACCTAGCTTAGAAGTTTCCTAAGATAAGGTAGCAATGTGTATTTAAATTGTGCATTTTTTTACATAAAGTAATATCAATAACGGAGAGATAAACCAGTTTTGACAAATATATTAGTTGCAAACAGTTGATCAGAAAGTGTTGAATCCGAGCATAAAACATTGAAGCAACCTAAACCACAGTCAGCGGTTCTGTGGACCTATTCAAGCCAATACATTATGAAGATTTTTATCATTGAAAATTTTGCTTGTCGTTAAACATGTGTTCAATTTTGGTGCTTGTCACATTCAAAAAAGTTACAAGGCCAAGAAAAAAAATCAACTGGAAATCTGCTGGATTATGGAAAAAAACCTACCATGACTTCCAAAATAACTAGGTCTGCATCACTTGCCAGGTAGGCAAGCTCCTGTGATACTCTCGTAAGATCAAAAACCTAAAAAAAATAGAAGCTGTTACTTCAATGACCAAATGTAATTTCTTTATTACCAGAAATGGAAATCAAAAGATTTTTAGTATCAACACCGATAGGCATACCACTTTCATCCTTCAACTGGTAAATTAGCACGTAAGAAGTTAGAGACATCCCAAAAAAAGAAAAATAGGACTAAGGAAACATAATGATCATTATCTAGAACTGTTTTTCTTTCCGTCACCTTTAATATAATTTCAACCAATTCGGGGTAAGTTATATCATTGATGGAAGGCAAGTGAATAGCTGCCAAGACAACCTGAGCAAAGAGGAAAGCATAATAAACATATTTCTATTTAATTTTTTTCTAATGAATGTAGAATATTAGTTAATGTTTTTGCCAAAAGTTGCATGGTATATTGGTAGAATGTTGAACTCTTAGTGAATGTTTCAATCTGTTGCTTACTATATTAAATAACAACCACAAATAAGTGCAAGGATTTAAGTTATATACCACTTATGTATCAACAACACAATAAATATATCTAGGACAGACGTAAAGATAGTTGACCTAAGGACGAGGAACAAGATTTTGACAAGTAGCCAAGAAGGACATCCCATCCCTTGAGAAAACCTCAACAAGCTTCCAAAGGTAAGGGGAAATAGCACAAACAAAAAGTAAGTACCAGCACAAAAGTTATCCTATTACAGTATACTTCTACTCGAAATGAATATTAATACCACAGAAATCATCTCAACCATAACACATGAAATACGCACAATCCAAATATATGAGAAGATTTTCATCAATCAAAGATAGTTGATCCATGGAAAAGATGATCATGACACCCTGCAAAAAATTATAAAAGAACGCTGATCCAAGTGGAAACTGTTATAAGGACCGATTTTACAGAGCATGAGAAATACATGATTATTATGATTCAAATTGCTTATCTCAGATCATAGGGATCCAAAAATGCCTGATGGAGATGAGTACTACAAAGCATGGTAATTTTTTAACTATACCAACAAATATGACCTGCCACTTATTGTAAGAGTAAATACTTTTGATAATAAGGATGATCGATGAGATGAATAGCACATAGTTATAGAAAGTACCTGTGCAGAACCAAGATTAAATATGTTTCCAGCAAATATTCCTCTAGCTAGATTCTCCAGTCGCTTCCCTTCATCCTCAATATCATCATTAAGAAGAACTACATCCGGAAATAGGGAGATAGCCTTGGCATTCTCTTCATCCTATTGCAAGTTTTCCAAAGAACAGAGTTAACAAAGAAAGAGAAAAGCATATAACCTTGGCAAATTATATATCTTGACACTTGACACCTCCACTACCCTCCACAACCCAAAATGTTCATTTTCTTTGTTATCCCTTAAAAACTACCATTCTATAAAAAAGGAAATAAAATCACCATTCACCAGTATTGTCCATATAAAACAACAGTTCCTAGCAATACAAGAACCTACAGCATAAATTTCAATACTCACTTTGACTTTCTTGAATATGTCTCTAAACCCCAATTCTATAAGAATTTGTTCACGAATCCGGCAGAGAAGCTACAAAACCGCAAAACTATCATGAGGATCACAAAGAACAACCATTCTGAAATCCATAAAGTACTATAGAAATTAGTTCCAAAAATCTGACTTACAATACAATCAGGCGGTCCACCATGGCTTTCGGGATCTTTCTTGATGTCATCAAGTATGTCAGCATACCTTTTACATCATTAAGCATACAAGAACATACAAAATTACAAATGCGATAAGAAGTATGGAAGGAAACAAAACAGTTGTCTATGCTAATGACTTATCAGCAACCAAATAGTCATATGGTTTTGATGAAGGGACCATTGAAAAATTACCTAAATAAAATGTTCATAGATGAAACCAAATGAATTTTTGAAACAAAGAAGTACATGTAAAGCTATAGACGAAGCACAAGAAATACCCAATACCTTTGAGCATAATTCTCAGCTTTAGTTGGAGCATCAGCCACAATAGTATCACTCTCAGCTCTCTTCCTGCAATAAATTGCAGTAATGAGCAAAATAGTCCGAAAAACATATATGGTAAACACTGGTGGATCCACACTTGTATCAGGTAGGGAAGTGCACAAGCTGAAATCCGAATTTCCTTCTTGTTGTTAATATACGTGTGTATGCGTGCACCCTCAAAAATATTTCTCAACATTGATAAATCAATTTTTCTACAATAAAAACAAGCAAAAGGTTATCCTTTTAATTTATCATTACCTCCTAATTAACAGCAAAGCAGTCTGATTAAAAATTCTTGAAAAAAAGGTGAAAACCATCAATAGTAGCATACTAACATAAAAGATCAATAATTAGAACCCAAGAATTTAATGAGGAAAAACTAAAATTAATCATTTTCCCAGTTAAACAAGGAGTAGATATGATATATTAAAGACGGCCGTTTAAAAACATAAATTATAGCAGAGTAACACAAAAGAAGAATCATTAGAGCCGAAGAAGGTAATGGAAGAAACTCAAATTACGCCCAGTTTCCAGGAAAAGAAAGAACGGAACTTTAAAAAATCGTAACGGAAAAAGAAAGAGGGATACTGGAAGGAGGGAATGGAATTACGGAAGGAGGGATGCAGAAATTTAAGAATGGATTATAAAATTTTAATTTTTTTTTTCTTTTAAAAATAATAACTATGCAAAAATTGTATTTTTTATTACATTGAGTTAAATTTATTCACTTTTTTAAAATAATAGGATGCACTTATCCTGTAGGATTTAGTGCATCTGCCACTGGGTAGAACTTCGAGGATTATCGGAAGGGAATCTGTAAGGAATGGTACATGGCCTGTAGTTTTATTCGATGGCCATTGTCAGCAATGAAAATGGCACCATCTCTGAATCGCTCTCCATTCCTTGATGAGAAACAGAAACGGACGGCAAATGCAACGAAAACAAGCTCCACCACCTAAGTTCGCTCTGAGAGTTTCCTTTGTATTTCTCTTGTACTGAACTTCAACACTTCGGATATTATCTCTTCAATTCTTTTACTTGACTTATAATAAAAAGGGTGAAGTATATAATGATCTTAACTATAGGATATTATTTTTTTGAATCTCTCACTATTAAAAGTTATAAAGTGATATATCAATTAAATTAAATGATGTTGCTTTGTCGAGCTTGATATTAAAAGTTACAAAATAGTCACTTGACTATTCATTATGTTCTAAATTCGTCCTTTTTCGTTAAAAAATTAGTGATAATATGAGCTGAATGTTAATATATTGTCTGACATATGATAAAATCTAATCATAGAATCTTAAATGATTATCATATCTAAGACAATAAACTAACATCCAACTTAGACTGTCTTTAATTTTTTAATGGAAAAGGACGAGTTTGGAACATAATGAATAGTCGTGTGATAATTTTATAACTTTTAATAGTTGAAAGACTCAACAAAACAACATTTTATAACTAAAAGACTATTTTATAAATTTTAATAGTTGAAAATCATAATAAAACAATGTAATATAGTCGGGATACCATTTATGCACTTTATCCATTCAATTGACTATTTAGAGTTGGGTGTCTTTTAATCACTTTCAAACGTTACTGAACATTTTTTTTTACATATTCTTAATATTTAATTAAATAATCATTATTTCTGTCTCATTTGAAATAAAATTATTATATTTTAGAAGGATAGTTATTTATTGATAAACGGTCTCCATCCATAAAAGTCTCTTCAATTCAAAGTGAATTATTAAGATTAAAGTACTTAAAAAATATCATTTAATCAAATATTAACCATCAAATAAACTATTTTTTAAAGGATAAACTAAAATGTTATCATTTATATTTAAGTTTACTATATTATTAATTTAATTATTAAGTCATTAACTCGGGTTACATGGACGACTTGATAAAAATAATTGATTTTAATGTAAAGCTTAAATTTCAGATAAAATATTAGTTTAACTTTGAATATTTATTTTCATTCATTTTAATACTTTTTGAAAGAAAAGTTCAAAAATCCGACCAAGATCTCTCACAACCAACCTCTGTTAATCATCGTTGTTGATGATCAGTAGCCCCCAAAGGTTTTTGTTAATCTTTTTTTTTCTTTCTATTTTTGTATACACGAATTTAGTATATGTTTTACGTTAAACTTGGCAAATTTAACCGACCATAACTCTTTGACTTCCTTTTTCCGATCTCTTCAAATCTACCATCATATCACGTCGATCTCTTTAACTCCACTTCTCAAAACGCTCTAATTGAGTTTCGACTTGTATATGTAAAATTATATATTATAGATTAATATATAATAGATTGATTGCCATGAATCACTACCAATAATACTATTAATATATATATTAGTGATTATAGAACTCCATAGCCATCTTGATGATGACCATATAGCAGATGTTCTACTAAGATAAATCATTCAATCATCTATTAAAGTCATTTCATCCTGGACTCATTTTATTCAACCATCAAGCAGATTTCCACAAATTTAACACTGAAAATCGATCGCTAAGACGAGAAGGAATCACGACACATCTCATCAGGCACATTCAAATAACCCATCATCCATAAGTAACATGATGAACTGAACTGCTATCGATACATTACTAGGATGACCTTACCTCCACTCCTCTTATGGTCGTACTTCGAGGCAGCAAGAGAAGCTAAGAGTTTTTACTTGCGGAAGAAGATAGGCCAGTGCATATCCTTTACAACTCGTCTCTTGGAAGGCTATCTCTTCCAGGTGGGGTGTATGATGCATATGCTTCAATAATGGACACGTACACATCGTTTCCTTTCAAGTACTCCCCTTGGTTTAGAAACTGCAGTATGAAAGAAAAGACAATAATCAGATACTCAGATCACATGCCTGCTAGTTGCTGACTACCTAATTTGCTAAGAAATATGAATGCTATCCAAAACATATTCATGAAATTCAGTAGTTTTTGGTGTGAGAATTTGAAGCTAGATGGTATCGCATTGCTATATATGATATATCTAACCGAGAACAATGCAAAACTGCAGCCAATGGTAACTGCTTGAAATTATGATGGAACCAGAACAAGAAAAAGAGAAGAAACGGAGAAACTTTCAACAGGAGAATGGTCCATCAATCAGACTATCAAATGGCAGCAATGACGTACCTCATTATGGTCATGAAGCAAAACAGGAGTGTTAGCCATAGGTGAAAAACCAATAGCTGGCAAGCCCACTTGCCGAAAATAGCGGGAATCTGTGGCAGCAGGAAAAATCTCTGGCTTCCCGACCTTTCCATTAGCTTTCTTGATAGCTTCTTCCAACAGAGTCCACCACGGATTAGAACTGTCAGTGGCAGTTATGAGTGGCCTTCCCAGGTAATCAACGGTGGTACCCTTTTGCTTAAACTGCAGACGGAAGTAACTAGTTCAGGAAGCAATTCAGTAGTAAGCAAGCTGCAAAACACCATGTGAAACTCATACAAATGGGCAGCCTTTTATTTTCCTAAAATTTATCATCTTCGTTTCCCATGGAATGCACCAATCTTATATTTAGACAGCAACTCAGATGATATAAAATCAATACAAATTGACGAGTGTCACTATCTTTGTAAAGCGGAGATGGGGAGTGTTTATAACTGTCGGTATGTACAAAATAAAATATTGAACAAACCATAGGAAGTCACCCTATTGATTCCAAGTCAAATATTGTAGGATCCCATGAAATTTTGCACCAACAGATTTTGGAAACATGGTACACCAGCCTTTTATTTATTACTGAATGCCAACTTTTGCAGAGAGTGCTTCATTTGCTCTACCTCAAATGACATGTTTCGTGAAGCAGGTGCCCATTCCTCAGCTAGCCGTTTCTCCAAGGATTCTACATTAGCTGTTGGTGGTACTCGAATATCGAAACCAGCTTCTGCTTCTGATGGCTGCAAATTCATAACAAAACCCTGGCAGAAAAATGCAAAAGAACCTATGTTAGGGGTAGATATTTCATATGTCACCATTCTTTCACCATTAATGCAAGGAATATATACGTGTTATTTATGGTTACTGTCTGGGCAACAAATTCGATTAAAGACCAGCAGCATGATCGTATGTAATAGGGGAATGAGAAAGACCAAAAGACCTAACTTACCATGCATTAAACGGTTGAGCATTTTTATCGCAGAAAATTTAGTTTTTAGTCCCTTTAGCACCCAAGTGTTCTAAGGAACTATGAAACAAAGATTAATGCATATTGTTTTCCATCTTTGATGAAACAATGCAATTATGCCACAGCTTCCCAAATTGATAGATACTTAACATATTTAATATCTAATAATCGCTGTTAAAGACTTCAGATTGGAACAAGTAAATCAACTTTCACAATTACTCAGAAAATTCGTCTGTTCCAAACATCTCATATCCAGTAAAAGTTTCACATGGTGCTTCATATTAATTGTCAAAGGGTGTGCAACTTATGACTTGTATAAAGATTCATGCACTGATATTTTCTTAATAGAAGAGATTATCCATTTCTTTCAGTTTTCCTAAGTGTTAAAAGAATGAAATTGGAATAAACTAATTTGTCCTCATAAACTATTAATGCATCAAAGAAAGGCCACGAGTACGGTTACAGATTGCACACAAGACTCACAACAATTTGGTTATATCTTCAGTGCTTTTAAGATAAACATTTGAAGCAAAACTATTAAGAAAAACAACTCGAGCAGTCCAGCTTAGGTACAGTGCAGTCATATCTACTGAAACCATAATTAGTAGTAAGTTTCAGCACCTAATTACTTAAATTTCCAGAGACTTACAGTGGGAGAAGGTGTCCCGGCCTTCAGCGAGGCCATGTTAACCGAAATGATATCCCCTTCAGCCTTCAAACCAGCTTTTACCAAATCGAACTGTGAAGCCCTGAACCTTCTGATAATCTCAATGCTCTTGAAAAGGTTCTCCATTGCACTATTGTCGTAAAGCTTTGCCCCATGTCCGGGGGCTCCAGTAGACTTTATTACCAGCCACCATGGAGTCCTCTCCGCATAGAACAACCTGTAATTCTCGTTGGGGGAAGCCAACCCTGTTTCTCAAACAACATAAGTCCTAGGCCCTCATCGGCAAGCTAAAGAATGAATAAGAATCATTACCTCATTGTGTATAATTATTAACTATTAGCCCATTTCAAACATGATTATAGATCTTTTCATTAAATGAACTTAAAAAGTAGTAAAATCTGGGTTTACCTTCATCAAGCACTATATCAACATTCATACTCTTGAAGACATCGGAGTGTGCAAACTTCTCAACACCATCATGACCACCGATCTCCTCATCGGGGACAAACGTCAAGTAAAGAGAACGTTTTGGCTGAAACCCATAAGACTTCAACTTACGAATAGCCTCCAGATACTGCATCCCAACGCACTTCATATCCTGGGAACCTCGAGCGAAGATATTGCCTTGTTCATCGATGTTAGCTCCGAGAGGAGGATGAACCCACTTCGAATGCTCGGCTGGGACAACATCGGTGTGGGAGTTAAGAAGGATAGAAGGAAGGGAAAGATCGGATCCTGGCCATTTGAGGATGACGAGTGGTTTCCCTTTGACGAACTCTACGACTTGGGATTCTAAAGAAAGGAATTCGGCTTGGGTTAGGAGAAACTGGGTGGATTTCTCATAGTCTGGGGATGGCTGGGCTGTGTTGATTCGAAGGTATTGTTGGAATCTTGATATGATTTCGGATTGTTCGTGTTGGATTGACGTTGTTGTTGTAGTTGAATTTATGAGGACTGGAAATAGAAGTAGAGAAAATAGTAGAAGACGATGAAGAAGAAATTGATGATGGAAGTTGAACTCTTTTTCCATTGATTTGATTCAGTCGCGCCTTCACTTCTTTGAGTTCGCTAAATCTCAGTCTTTAGTTGTAGGGAAGATGGGTGACTGAACAGTGAACACAACTCTATGAGGTCAAAGACTCAAAGTACCTGACACTAGATAAGGGTAAACTACCGTGATTGTCGTTTTTGTTTCATTTTCTTCTGATTTCGACCGCTTAGCTTTTAATTGTTATGTTCTGATCATTATTTTATTGATTAAGTACGAATTTCCCTCGGAGACCGTAACTCTTGACGACTTGGCACATTAACAGAAATATTTAATTTCTAATTTTACCCTGAATTTTGAAAAAAAAAATTATCAAATTAATGTTTTTATAATATTTAAGTATAATTTTATAAAGGGTAAAGTATAAAAATGGTCCCAACTTTAGGGTGATACTTTGTTGAATCTCTCGACTATCAAAAGTTACAAAATGGTCTCCCGATTATAAGACATCACTTTGTTGAGTCATTTAACTATTAAAAGTTACAAAATGACCACACTACTATTCATATATTTCAAACTTATCCATTTCATTAAAAATTTGACTGTAGTATGAGCTAGAAGTTAATCTGTTGAATGAGATATAATAAAATTTGATTTCAAAATCTCAAAAGACTATCATATCCCCAATCAACATGTTAATATCTAGCTCAAACGAATAATCAAGTGACATATTTTGTAACTTTTAATAGTCGAAAAACTCAACAAAATAATCCTCTATAATCGAGGAACCATTTAGTAAATTTTAATAGTTAAAGGGCATCAAAACAAAATTCTATAATTAAAGGATCATTTGTGTACTTTACCCTTCTATAAAAAATCTTAATTGTCTTAACGCCTCCAATCGTTGACATCTCTCCGATTACATTCCCCTACAAGAACTAACACTAAAATTCATAAAATCACGTAAAGCTGGATCTAATGAAACAGTTTCTCGAGAGGAGGTGTTAATTCGGTTGTGACTGATAATATGAATGCCACCTTGACCGTTGCCTATTCTTGAGAGAAGGTTCACGCTGCTATTTTAGAGGGGCGAGAATCTATTGCTTCAGTTAACCGCACTGTACTTGTACTTATTCCTGTAGTTGTAGATCCTACAACATTAAAGCAATTTCATCCTACTGCACTTTGTAATGTCATTTATAAAATCATTGCAAAGGTTTTAGTTAATCACCTACGACCACTTCTCCCTGTTTGTATTGATGATAATCAAGGAGCTTTTCTTCCCAGACGTTTGATTTCTAACAATGTCTTAATTGCGCAAGAATTACACTCCTTTAAAATCAGAAACTCCAATAGTGGCTGAGGTGCTGCTCTTAAGCTAGACATGTAGAAGGCTTATGATCGTGTTGAATGAACTTTTCTCCGTGCGATGCTCCTTCATCTTGGATTTGTTGAGGATTGGATTAACTTGATAATGTCGTACGTCTCCACTTTCTCATATTATATTAGATTCGGATTAACCACTGCCTATGAGAAAGTTTTACCCCCGACTTGTGGTCTATGACAAGGGGATTCGTTATCGCCATTTTTGTTTGTTATTTGTGCTCAAGGTCACTCTTCTCTACTCCATTATGAACAGTAGCATCATCGGCTTCAAGGCCTCCGCTCTTGTCGAGGCTGGGTGACACACTTATTTTATATGGATGATTGTCTTCTCTTTCTTCGTCCGTATGATGATGAATTTCAGCTGATACGAACTGTGCTTGACCTTTATGAAAATATTTTCGGTCGAAAGGTAAATTTTGCCGAATCTAGTCTCTATTTCAGTCTTTTTACTCCTATGGTTGTTCAAACCCGACTTAGGTCAGGGCTGGGCATTTCTTATATTGATGATCCAGGACATTATTTGGGTATACCGCTTGTCATAGCGCGTAATCGAAACAGTGTGTTCGGCTTTCTTTGTGATAAAGTGACTTCGCGAGTTTATAGTTGGACTAAAAATTTACTCTCCTATGATGGTCGGGCTATGTATATTAAAGTCGTTGGGTAGCCTCTTCCAAAATATGTTATGGGTTGTTATTTTCTCCCTGATGGGGTGATTGATGATATCATATCGGTGCAAAGATCTTACTGGTGGTCGGGTGATTTGTTGGAGGAAAAGTCAGAATTCGATGGAGGTGTTGAAAATCAAGAAAATTATAGCACATATTCAACAAAAGTGGCACCGAATTCGGTGTTCCAAATTTTTAATTAAAATGTAATAGGGTTAATTATATTTTAGCCACTGTATATTTTAGGGTATTTACAAGATTAGCCCTTAAGCTTTAACTATAAATACCATAGCTCATTTAGCTTCTAAATCATCTCAAAATCTTCCAGTTCTCTCTCAAGTGTGTTTTGTAAACACCTGTAATTTTTTCTCTTTAGTAAAATATCTGCAGCAGTCCGGAGACGTAAGCACAATTGGCTGAACTCCATTATCAATTTTTCGGGTATTATTTTTTCCATTTTTATTTTGTATTCTCATTAATCTGGCTATAGGGAAATTAATTGTTACTCGTTTATTTCCCAACAACTAGTATCAGAGCTTTTGGTTGTAAGTTTTGTCAATTTTTTTGCGAGGTTACTATTCAATACTATTCACGTGAATAGTAAATTTCGTGAATAGTGAAATTTTGTCGGCAATATGAATTTGTCGACGGAGGTGTTCTAATACACGGTAGTTCGCAAGAATTGTCAGAAACGATCCAAACGAATCCAGATTCGAGTGGGAGCGATGGCTGCAGACGAAGGGAAGGTGAAAATTGAAATGTTCGATGGTGTGGACTTTGGCTTTTGGAAGATGCATATTGAAGATTTTCTGTACCAGACAAATCTATATCAACCCCTCTCAGGAAAGCAACCAGAGGGCATGAAGAATGAAGACTGAGCTCTTCTCGATAGACAAGCCCTCGGAGTTATCCGACTGACGTTATCTCGCAATGTTGCTTTCAACATAGCAAAGGAAAAGACCACGGCGGGTCTTATGGCGGCTCTATCCAGTGTGTATGAGAAGCCATCAGCCTCAAACAAAGTTCACTTGATGAGGCGATTATTCAATTTGCGGATGGCGGAAGGGGCATTAATGGCTCAATACCTAAATGAACTCAACACTATCACAACCCAGTTGAGTTCCGTGGAAATTGAATTCGATGATGAAGTTCGATCTTTAATTCTCTTATCATCTCTACCAGACAGTTGGAATGCTACTGTTACAGCAGTTAGCAGCTCGTCGGGAAACAACAAATTAAAATTCGACGATGTTCGAGATCTGATATTGAGTGAAGAAATTCGACGAAGAGAATTGGGTGAAGCATCAACCTCCTCAGCCTTGCACACGGAGTCTAGAGGGAGAACTTCAGAAAGAAATTCAAATCGTGGCAGATCAAAATCCAGAAGGAGAAAATCAATAACGGGAAAGAAAGATTTTACCTGTTATAACTGCAGCAAGAAGGGTCACTTTAAAAGATATTGCCGAGCACCGAAGAAAAATACCGGCGCACAGGATTCTGCCAACGTGACAGAGGAGACAGGTGATGCCATGATTCTAAGCGTCAACAGTCCGATTGAATCATGGATCTTGGATTCATGGGCATCTTTCCACTCCACCCCATGTCAAGAAATCATGGAGAACTATGTCAGTGGTGATTTTGGGAAGGTTCATCTAGCTGATGATGAAACCTTGAAGATCGTCGGAAGAGGAGACATCCGACTAAAGTTGCCAAACCAGACCACCTGGACGCTAAAAGGTGTGAGACATATTCCTGGTCTCAAAAGAAATTTAATTTCTGTTGGACAGCTTGATGGAAAAGGATATAGCACAACCTTTTCAGACTGTGAATGGAAGATTACCAAAGGAGCACTCGTCATTGCTCGTGGTAAGAAAACTGGTACTCTCTATATAACCTCAAATTTAGAGAATATCATTGCAGCAGCAGATGCTGATGGAAAATCAAACCTATGGCACCAAAGGCTTGGCCATATGAGCGATAAAGGGATGAAGACGCTTTTGTCAAAAGGGAAGTTGCCGGATCTAAAGAATGTAGATGTCGGACTATGCGAGGATTGCATATTTGGCAAACAAAAGAAAGTCAGCTTTGCAAAGATTGGTAAGACACCCAAGGCTGAAAAGTTAGAGTTGGTTCATACTGATGTATGAGGACCATCTCCAGTTCCATCTCTTGCAGGCTCACTATATTATGTCACCTTCATCGATGATTCTACAAGGAAGGTGTGGGTTTATTTTCTGAAGAAGAAATCAGAAGTCTTTGATACCTTCAAAAAATGGAAGGCCATGGTGGAAAATGAGACTGGTCTGAAAGTCAAGCGGTTGAGGTCTGAAAGTCAAGCGGTTGAGGTCTGAGAATGGATGTGCCATGAACAGAACTCTGAATGAATGTGCAAGAAGCATGAGGATACATGCCGGATTGCCCAAATTTCTATGGGCTGAAGCTATCAACACTGCAGCTTACCTGATCAACCGTGGGCCCTCAGTTCCTTTGGATGGCAGAATACCAGAGGAAGTTTGGAGTAAGAAAGAAATAAACCTTTCACACTTAAGAGTGTTTGGGTGTATTTCTTATGTACATATAGACTCTGCTGAAAGAAGTAAACTTGATGCTAAGTCCAACAAATGTGCCTTTGTTGGTTACGACAGTGATGAGTTCGGTTACCAGTTTTGGGACCATGAAAATCGGAAGATCATCAGAAGCAGAGATTTCATTTTCAATGAGAATGTGATGTACAAAGACAGGTCAACTATAGAATCAAGCAGCTCCAATACCAAAGCTGAAACAAAGAAATTTGATGAGTTCGAGGAGATTTCTGGAAATGATGTTCAGATCAGTCCTGAAGCAGTTCAAGAAGAACCAGGCACACCGGAACTAAGACGCTCCTCCAGAATTCCTAAACCAACCCAACGATATTCTCCTTCTTTGCACTACTTGTTGCTGACTAACAGTGGTGAACCAGAGTGCTATGATGAAGCAATGCAAGTGGAGGATTTAGTCAAGTGGGAGTCTTCCATGAAAGATGAGATGGACTCGCTTATGTCAAATCAGACGTGGGAATTAGCTGAATTACCACCAGGCAAGAAAGCGCTTCACAACAAGTGGATTTATAGGATCAAAGAAGAGCACGATGAGAGCAAACGTTACAAAGCGAGATTGGTTGTCAAAGGTTTTCAGCAAAAAGAAGGTATTGACTACAATGAAATTTTCTCTCCAGTCGTGAAACTGTCTACTATCAGACTGGTGTTGAAAATTATAGCTGTAGAGAATTTACATCTTGAGCAGTTAGATGTAAAGACAGCTTTCCTTCATGGTGATTTGGAGGAAGAAATCTATATGAGGCAGCCAGAAGGCTTCATAGAGGCAGGCAAGAAAAACCTGGCATGCAGGTTGAAGAAGAGCTTGTATGGTTTAAAACAAGCTCCTAGACAATGGTACAAGAAGTTCGATAGCTTCATGAGTAGCAGTGGTTTTACCAGATGCCAAGCAGATCATTGTTGCTACATCAAGAGGTTCGATAATAGCTTCATTATTTTATTGTTGTACGTTGATGACATGCTCGTTGCAGGCTCAGACATACAAGAGATTATAAACTTGAAGCAAAAATTGTCGAAGCAGTTTGTAATGAAAGATCTGGGTGCAACAAAGCAGATTCTTGGGATGAGGATCAAGATAGACACAAAGTCGGGGACTTTGATATTATCACAGGCCGAGTACATCAACAAAGTACTCTCCGGGTTCAACATGCAAGATGCTAAATCAGTAAGTACACCTTTAGGTGTTCATTTTAGACTCTCCAAAGAACAGTCACAAAAGACGGAGGAAGAATGTGCATACATGGTGAAAGTGCCGTATGCCTCAGCAATTGGAAGTCTGATGTATGCCATGGTTTGTACCAGACCAGATATTGCTCATGCAATGGGAGCTGTTAGCAGGTACATGAATAATTCGGGCAAAGTACACTGGGAAGCTGTCAAATGGATCCTCAGATATCTGCTGGGTACTACAAACAAAGCACTTTGTTTCAGAGGTGGAGATACGATACTGACAGACTATATAGATGCTGACTTAGCCGGAAATATTGACATCAGAAGGAGCACTACAGGGTATGTCTATACTCTAGGAGGTACTGCAGTGAGTTGTGTTTCTCAACTACAGAAGATAGCTGCTCTCTCCACCACTGAAGCAGAATATGTCGCTGTTACGGAAGCCAGCAATGAGATGGTTTGGCTCCAAAGTTTCTTGGAAGAGTTAAGCAAGAAACAAGAAAACAATGTCTTGTATTGTGATAGTTAAAGTTCTATCCATCTAGCGAATAATCCGTCTTTTCATTCCAGGACGAAGCACATACAATTACGGTATCATTTTATCCGGTCTCTTCTGGAAGATGGGATTTTGAAACTTGAAAAGATTAGTGGAGCTCAAAATCCGGCAGACATGTTAACAAAGACGTTGACCACAGACAAACTGAAGTTGTGTTCAACTTCAGTTGGCATGCTATAATAACAAGACCAGAAATACTGTTGCATTGATCGAGGTGTGAAGACAGATTAAAATCAGTCTTCAAGTGGGAGATTATTGGAGGAAAAGTTAGAATTCGGTGGGGGTGTTGAAAATCAAGAAAATTATAGCACATATTCAACAAAAGGGGCACCGAATTCGGTGCCCCAAATTTTTAATTAAAATGTAATAGGGTTAATTACATTTTATCCACTGCACACTTTAGGGTATTTACAAGATTAACCCTTAAGCTTCAACTATAAATACCCTAGCTCATTTAGCTTCTAAATCATCCCAAAATCTTCCAGTTCTCTCTCAAGTGTGTTTTGTAAACACCTGTAATTTTTTCTCTTTAGTAAAATATCTGCAGCAGTTCGGAGTTGTAAGCACAATTGGCTGAACTCCGTTATCAATTTTTTGAGTATTATTTTTTCCGCTTTTATTTTGTATTCTCACTAATATGGCTATAGGGAAATTACTTGTTATTCGTTTATTTCCCAACATGATCCTGCTTATAAGGGTTAGCCACTAATTTCTTGGGAGGCCATGTGCCAGCCAAAGCATGTGGGAGGTCTTGGGTTTCAAGACTTTCAGATTTTTAATATTGTGATGATTGGGAAAAATATTTGGCAGTGTATTACTAATCTAGGCAGTCTTGTTGCACGGGTCCTCGCTTTTAAGTACTTCCATTCGGGAGACATCTTTGACGATGTTCTTGGTGAATGACCATCCTTTTCTTGGCGTAGCATTTTCACTGCTCTATCAATGTTATGTGATGGTTTCTTTTGGAGGATGGGTATTAATGGACGGGTTCCATTATCCCATGATAGGTGGGGTGGTACATCACCACTGCAGATTTCCTCTTTGTCATCAGAAAACATTCCCAATCATTCTCGCGTTGGTGATCTTATGTACCCAGACAACCCAACTTGGAACTAGATATCGTGCATTGTTTATTTGCCGTTGTCGATGCCAATCAAATCCTATAATTTCCGATAAGCCCAGTGGAAATTGATGTAATTCTTTGGAGTGGGTCATTATTCAGGGAAGTATCCTGTACAGTCGAGTTATACTTGGTTACACCGTCGTTAATCTGATATGCTTCATACTTCTCCATTTTGGTTGTTTTTATCGCGATCACCTACATTACCTCAGATTCGTGTATTTGGATGGCGAATAGCGCATGAAGCCCTCCCAGTTGGATGACGATTATTTTTTTTATAGGGGTTTCGATGGTCATTGTTGTTTGTGTGATACGTCTAAGGAATCAGTTCTAAATGTTATGCGTGACTATTCTGTCATGCAACCAATCTTATATTCAACGGGTTTTGTATTTGAGGAAGAAGGATTATCAAGCACATCATGTGGAGAGTGGTTAGAACATCCCATGTCATCTTCAACCATTCAACGTTACATTGAACTTTTAATCCTACTTTGGAAGGTTTGACAGTGTCAAAATGTGTTCTACCATGAGTCTCGGCTTCTTCCAGGTTGGCATATCATCTCCACTGGGGTATTGCTTCAGGCAGCGTATTGTGCAGTATTTCATCCTCCAATTCTGAGGCTTCAGCCGCTTCTTCGATCCTTCAATCTTGCTGTTGGTCAAAGCCTCCCAATGGCATAATCAAAATTAATATCGATGGTGCATGTCCGAAGCGATTGGGTTCTCCAACTATGAGTTTGGTTGCTCGTGACTGTGATGGTACAGTAGTTGTGAGCCATGCATTTCCTTTTACGTGTGTTTCAAATACTGGAATCGTGGAAGCTATTGCTATTTGTCATGGTGTTCGTATAGCAATCGAGAGGGCATATCCGCAAGCTGTGGTTGAAAGTGACGTGTCCAACGTGATTTGATGGTTTTCAAATCATCAAGAAGACCAATTCATCCTCCGTTTTTATCTGGCCGAAGCTCGTCGCTTGTTGGATGCCTACCCCAATGTAACCATTAGCTATGCTCGCCGAGAAGCCAATGGAGCAGCACATGCTTTGGTAAACTATGTTTCCATGACCAATAAATCTTTTGTTTTTTTAAAAGGGAGGTTTCTCCATGTATTGTTTCTATTTTAATTGTTGATAACTTTATTAATACACGAGGACATGGTTAAAAAAATGAAACATTTTTTTACTTTTGTCAAATGTTAGAGAAATACATAAAATTGGATCTAAAGATTTAATGTTTCAAGAACTCCAATATTTATAAGCATAACTAATATTAGGTATGATGATAAAAATAGCCTATAATATATATTTAAATAGTTATTTTGATCTTTATTATTTTAAATATTTTAATTACCATATTTTAATTTTAGACTAAAATAACACATGTTGAATGAAAAATCATTAGTTGACTAACGAACAACAGATATTATTTGATGTGATATTTCTACATATATTTAATTGGTTGTGTAATATATATTATGTCATTATTTTAGGTGACATATGTCATAAACTTATTCTTCTCTGGACCATGCGACATTTAGACACTTCCTTCTTAGCGGCTAAGTCAACCTAAATATCTCAAAGATCTTAGTATTAAATGCTTGAAAGAAAGCTTTATTAGCTTTGGATAATGCTTTACAAAGTTTGCTTCAATGATTGATGGATGCCTTTAGCAAATGGCCAAGGCTCCTTTTTATAACCTTACATCTCCTCAATGGACGGTGGAGACTAGTTTGATCCTATAGTTTACATTTTACATCCAGAACTTTCTATACAGGCCTAGTATAATCTAGACTTGAGGAATTCTCCATAAACTTCTATAATCTTTCTCAAGTCTCCCCCATATTCTATAATATTCTTCATAGTTTTAGAACCTTCTATGATGTTCTAAAACCTTCTTTGGTGTTACAAAACTTTCCACAATGTTCTAGAATATTCTAGAGTAATCTAGGACATTCCAAAGTATTCTAGAACTTTTCGTAATGTACTAAATCTTTCTATTGTATTCTAGAACTTTCTGTTATATCTTAGAATACCCCACCAATATATCTAAATTTCTAGTTAAGTATGAAAATAAAGGTTGAGAGATTTAGTTTGTGACACTTGACTATATCACTTCATCCTTTTGAATGATGTAGCACATGCCATGTTATCCCTTTGGTAATGTAACATGTTGTATATCATCAATTAAGCACATATGGAAATGAAATGCTAGCAACATGTGTTACTGTTAGTCAACTAATAATTTTCATTCAATAATTGTTATTTTAACCAAAAATTGAAACGTTGGGGGACTAAAATGCTAAAAGAAAGAACATGAGAAGTGACTATTTGAGAAAACAATAAGAGCTAATTTTATTAAAAAAACAAACAGGGTTAAAAATATGAAAAAATTAGATGAATTTTGTCTAAAAAGAACAAATGCACATTACATGTTGAAGACACATAATTGCACGAGCACGAGTTAGACGACAACGATGACATACATGTGCTAGCCCTATATTCAATCACTCAATAAATACATTTTTAAAATAATATATTTAAACACTTAGAAAATTGACATATATAAACATTTGAGAAGTTCATTATGGGAGTTTACAATGTTAGAATCAAATCATAATAAACATAAAACTAACTATGATCTAATCATGTCAAATCATAAATATGTTATCATATTTTATGATAACAATATACATTATAAATATGTTTCCACAATTATGGATTTTAATCTAACAATTATGGATTTTAATCCAATAATCTCCCACTTAGGCAACATATGTTTCTTGATAAATGTATAACATTATGAGCTCAAAATTTGTTATCATGTAATATGTATTCTACAACAATCTCGTCCATCAACTATACCCATATATAGGATCAAAGGGACCTTTGTTATATCTATCATGACTAGACCCATCAATGGTCACGTATACAAACACGATTAAATGACATAGATCAATCATGGATCGTAGCATGGAAATTACATGTAATATGAACTACACATATCTATTTCCAGCTGGTCCTCTTTAAATATTAGCGAGATCAAATTTTACCAAAATCAGAGTGAGATAAACAAAACAAACTTTACTTCTGCATAAAATAACTTTAAAATAAATATCCTTAAAATGAAGTAATTGAAATTGTGTTTATAATAAATGAGCATTAAAATTATAAACTCTCACTAAAATTGAATATCCTTAAATGATATTACACCCACATGAGTAGTGCGCTCATGAAAGACTTTGGGTGACAGTTCCTTAGTAAGCATGCAATTATGAGTTCGTACCAATATACTCTATAAATACATAATCACTATGAATTTTCTTTAACAACCAGAAACACAATATCTATGTACATAGACTTAAGATGTTTCTGATATATATGAAATAAATGACTGCAACTTTGTTGTCACAAAATAAATCAAGTGGTATTTCTTATCAATCCATGATTAACAGTTCATGTGACAAATTTTGCATCCTATTCCAATAAGTCGGAGTCCATACCAATAAGTCGGAGTCCATAAACCTGATGATCTCTTACTTATTATACCTCTGATATGTGAGCATGTAATATTTTTGTTTTTAAATGTATCGTATGAATCAATTTGGTTGCTATCCAACGATCCATACTCAAATTGTTTAAATAACTACTTAATATCCTAAAATCATACGCTATGTCTGAATTCATATAAGCTTGAGTATACATTAAATTCTTTATTTATTTTGAAGCATAAGAAACTTTTTTG